GGTTTTCACCAAGTTAAAAAAAATCAAAAAATTCGCCTGGTTTTCACAAGTTAAAAAAAATCAAAAAATTCGCCTGGTTTTCACAAGTTTCTAATTTTTGCGGAGGAGTTAAATTCGAAAATGGGCGTTCCCCTCTGTGCTACGGGGTGTGGCGACTCTTCCGTCTCAGGGGGATTGTGAGATCTTATGAAAATCTGAGAAAATTTATGCAATAATCCTGAACAACGGATGGGTTTCACCCTTTCGCTACATTTCGTTTGCAACAATTTCTTTATCCTCAAATGGAAAGTTTATAGCTACAAATTCGTTACAAACACGCCATGTACGATCAATAATGAAGAGTTGAGCAAATAAAGCACAAAGAATAAATATCTTTGTCAATTACGCAACATATGAAACTCTACCTAGAAATGTGATGATGCCAAACTTTGCAAATTCCCAAATGATTAAGAAACATGTCAATATCTCAAAATCAAAGGGCGAGGTTACATAAATTACGTATTGCGCATTCGAAATCAAGATTCTATAACAAAACCGAATTTTAATTCAGTGCGCGCTCATCAGACAAAGGAAGAAGAAGAAGACGGCAGAAGCGTGTTTGCCAGGCCGTGGTTTTGGGTGGGATGAGCTGTTGAGAGAAATTCTCCCAGCTTTCTATTTATACTTGACTTTAGGAAACGACGGAATTGACATTTTCCCTCCGACTCCACTTATTGTTAAATATCTTGCGGTTCCCAAGTATTCCAGTGACTTTGTTGTCGGAGGAGAGACCCAGGTTCAATAGCTTAATGAAAATGTCGATCCGTCCTGGTGCTTGAGAAATAAGGAGTCGGAGTCATCGTCTTGTAAGAAGAGAGGAACTTGAACAAGAAATTTACATATGAGAAGGCGAAATCATGCAGAACTAGGATAAGTCACCCGACTAAAAATTTGTACGGGTTTCCTGTAGAAATTAGGCCCGATTTTTTTTGCAGAAATTTTGGCTTTTTTTGCAGAAAAACTTTATACAGGTGCAAAACTAGGATAAGTCACCCGACTAAAAATTTGAACGGGTTGCGTGTAGAAATTAATCCCGATTTTTTTCCAGAAATTTGGTCAGATTTTTTCGCAGAAAAACTTTATGCAGAGCGATTTTTGCAGAAAACTGTGTACAATTATTCACACACGGTTCTGCAGAATATTAGACCCATAGAAATTTTCTGTATGCAAAAAAAAATATGCAGAATACATAAATATTCATACAGCCTTTATAAAATTTCTGCAGAATTCTTCACACAGATTTCTACTCGGGCAAGTCGGTATAAATATTTTTGTAGGCATTGTCAGATATGCAACGACCTTTCGTAAGAACATGCAATCCTCTGTTTTTTAATCTCGACCCGTGCAACAAACAGTTGAGTAATTAACACATTTTAACGAACTGCAGGAATTCTTAGAGAGAAAGCAGACCGTGGAGTTGCAAACCACAACACGATAAGTACGAATTATATATGTTATTATTTTATTCTTCTTTTATTACCGACCCGCCCGCCAACAATTCGGTGTTCCCGACATAATTAATTTCTACAAAGTCGCACAAACGAAAGTCTGTCACAACCTAGTTTACTTTCACCACCTGCGAAAGCCAAGAAGTCGACATTCTTCTATATATAGCGTCCCGTCTTATATATTTTTGACCATATCGACCCCTTAAAACCAAGCCAACCAGCCACGGGGACACCACGACTATGAAAAGTGGCCGCGGAAGCCGTGGGGACATGTAGGGACATTAACATTGTCGGATAAGGGTGGGAGTGATTTATATAAGATGGGGAGATTATTAGGACATTGAACAACCGTGGGGACATTGTCCCTCTGTCCACACCCTTCCGCGGCCAATGAGTCGACGACTATGAATAATTTTCATTATTGTTTTACTACCCACCTCTTAACCAACTACCTGGCTCACTCAATAAATGGGGGAAGGGAAACCCAACTTTCACCACCACCAACACTGCTATTAGCTCTTCATCCACTAAACCAACTTTCTCCGAAAAAGTTTTATGCAAATTCCTAAATCTCATCAGTCACTTGGTCCAATTTTGCTAAGTGAGTTGAGTGAGTGAGTTGAGTCGTACTCCTGCAGTGCGATTGCAGCACAATTATGCATTATTTTTACACCAGATAATTTGTATGCGTTCTTTCTGCTCGTATTGATCTTATAATAAAATGAGGGGCTGCGTTGTAATGGGAACGAATCGTAAAAATTTGCTGCCCTTTTCAGACGACGAGACATGCAAGTAAGTAGAACTCCTTTATAATCAGAGGATGGATATGTATTTAGGAAAAATAGCTGATAAGTCTATTTAATATATAGGAAAAAATACCAAAATATTTACGAAATATGTACAAAAAAATTAGAAATTTCACAAAAATGTGTATTTCGGAGTATGATACTTTGGATTTTTTGTACTTGAGCATTTCTTTGAGCTAAAACTTTCGTCTCGTATCTTTGAAATATTTGCAAAATATATGTACGTATTTTTGAAAAAATCTGTAAAATATTTACGAATTTTTCACATAAAAGCGACAATATTTATGTCTGAACACCTAGAAATGTGTAATGTTATGTAAACATATTTTGAAAATTTTGTGATTTATACGAGTTAATGGACACACCCACAAAGTTTTATTGTCGGTCATCATAAAATGAAAAAAAACTGAAAATCCATACATATCCACACCCTATTCATAAAATCTAATAGCGATGTTGGGGTCTCAAAACTTTCGTGCCATTTATTGCCCTCATATTCAAAGGAAATGACTGTTTCTCATTTGCATTTCGGATCTAGAAATGGTGTTGGACTGTAACACTTCCGGCTGCTTTGGAGGCCGGTGTAGTAACCTTAACACAATACCCGAACCAAATTGAACAACCGAGTGCATTACATTACATTACTTACGACGGCCGGATAAATGATGGATGCTCGTTTTTGAGAAAGGTGGGTGAAAGTAGTTCGGACTGAAATAAGGGTGTGGTCACTTTTCTTATTCATTCCGAGCTAAATTTCGTATGTGCCAGGGACGACGAGGGTGAAATGACTTTGGAACGATATCGTGGTGCGCGATAAGACTTTATGTGTACCCGCTTTTGACTTGGAAACCCAAATTAATGCGGTTGTAGTGTTTCTTAGACGTATGCTGGGAGAAGAATTGTTGCTACACATTTACGTAGAATGGTGCTACACACTTGGAAGCAGTGGCCGCGGAAGGTGTGGGGACATTGCCATTGTAGGATGGGGGGAGGGACGGGTTTATATAAGATGGGGAGATGATGCGGACATCGAACAACCATGAGGACATTGCCCCTCTGTCCACACCCTTCTTCCGCGGCCACTGCACATACTTGGAAGGAAATGAAATTGCGTAACAACACCACCACCACCTCCTCATGAGGCAGGGGTCGATTGAATCCTTATACACCCGGACAAATAATAGATGACATGAGACCGATAAGCAAAAGGTATAAGTTAGTCGACCCAAAATAATCCATACCACGAATGCATGCATGGACAGTCAACTAGTCAAACCTGTGCGTGTCTCACGAAATAAACAGCCCCCCAACTTTTCACTGGTCCAATTCCAATTTACTCTGAGTGAGTGAGTATGCACAGGTAGAGGGAAAAGTTGGGAAAGTTGTGTGCCAAAGTCGCCGTGATGATGATGATGAGGAAGAATTTGGAGATACAGAAAATCCAATAATCTTTGTGACAGTTTGTGTACATATTTTGAGGTGAATGTGTGGTTGCTTCAGTTGAATATGCATATTTAGTGGGGGAGAAAGTTAATCGATTAATGCAGAAGTACAATAATGCCTTGGAATCAGTGGCCGCGGAAGCCGTGGGACATTAACATTGTAGGATAGGGGAGGGACGGGTTTATATAAGATGGGCAGATGATGCGGACATCGAATAACCGTGGGGACATTGTCCCTCAGCTTCCGCGGCCCCTGTCTGTGACGTCTGTTTATAGTACAACTGTCTGTTTACGTTCAGACCGAGTGGCTCTTTAATATTTATGGAGAAAGCTACAGTAGCAGTAATTACGCTTAATAAATGTGTGTGTACCACATGGAAAATTCCATTCCGATTATAACCGAAAATGTGTTTACATGTTAATTCCACTAGAAACGAGGTTCTAATTAATTATAAAACCAAATATCAAAAGTAACAATAAGTCATGGGAAAAGTTTATGGAATTCTTGTGTCTGTGGTGTGGTTCTGAACGAATATTTATACATTTACATTTGCATATCTCTATCCAACAGAGGCTGGAAAATAGAGTTATTTTACGCGTGTGATAATCTACGTGTTTGCATAAATACGAATGAATGAATGTTATTTATTAAATAGTTCAAGTGTAGGGATTTATGGAAATTTAGTAGTTTAAATACCGCATACGTACGTAAATGTGGCCACAATAATTTCAATATTCCTTTTCATTTTCCACCAACAGTAGGGACGCAAACCGTGTTCAACCCAGATTATTTTGCGATCATGTTAGTTTGAAAGAGCGACTCTTTAAAAACATCATTTACTTCATAATTTTCGCAAATTCGAAAAATTCTACAAGTTTTGCGCGCCACAAGTTCGCTAAAATTCTTAGCTTTCCACCAGAAACTTTATTTGCGGCTCGTTTCCACGAACTTGCAGCGACCAAAACTTCTCGAATTTTTCGAATTTGCTTAAATACCGGGCTAAATCTTGTCTCTAAAGAGTTACCCTTTCAAACTAACATGATCTCAAAATAATCTGGCTTGAACCCGGTTTGCGTCCCCATTCTAACTTTAATACAGCATCCAGCCGAGCCAAATAATGGCAAAGTTTGAGGTGACTACTCTAGCCGTATTTTCTTTCTTAATTAAAATCCTGCCGAGCTAAGGCTTCTCAAGTAGTCGTCGCAGTAAATACTGTCCTCTTGAATTACATGCCGGATAAAACTTTAGTCTTATACTCACTCACCTTTGGAATGTGCACAAAAGATTCCCACCAAGAGGAAGAAAGCTCTCGGCAGAACGTGATTGAGGGTGAGTGATGAGGATGAGTAGTGAGATCTTCTTCTTCTGGGGGACATGCTGGCCTTCACTTTCACTTGACATCTCCCTCCTCCTCCTCCTCCATTGTCCGGGTCACTCATCTTGTTCCCTCCGCTGATCCAGATCCGGACAAGACAATTCGATTGATCGACAGTCCACTCCTTTTATTATTTTATAAGATACACTACGTCGCACAACAGTTGTGTCACACAAACCACGATGACTCTGTCCGTTACGGGGTGTCAGTTCTTATGTTGTTGCACTTTCACTCCGTGCTTTCTTTTCGTTATGATTGATTTGGAAGTAGGAAGGGATAAGTAAGTAAGTAAGATGCGGGGCAGATTTCCTGGACTGGCAGCAGGGGTGAGTAGCTTACTTTACTTGCTGGCTGTCTAGCGAGTTGTCAATGTCACATTAAAGACGTTGGTTGCTTGGTGGGGGAACAAATCCTTTTTCTGGGCGAGATCCTGGCTGTGATCCTGTCAAATAAATAATCTCTGATCAATTGCATCGCCTGGATTAGGTGGGATTTTTAGGTTATTATGAGGGTATACGAGGGGACGGGAAAAATTAGGAAATAAATAAGCTAGAGGTTTCAATCATGTGGTGTTGGTCATTTATTTGGATGATCGCATTAGTAGTGAATGAGAGGGATTGATAAGTACTTGATATTCAGATAAGATTAAGAAAAAATAAATAAGGAAGAAAACTATAACTTGATTACGCATGAAAAAGAATCAACTTTCTCTTTCCTCCTTTCTCCATGGATTTTAGAAATTATTTGAGATTCGGATTAAATGCTTTCTACGAATGCCCGGGTAAAATAAATACATTGCAGGTTTTAATCATGTGGTATTACATTACTAAATAAGGCGGATTAAATGAATACTTGACATTCCGATAAGTAAGATCAGATAACACTGAGAAAAACTAAATAAGAAAGAATTCCTAATTTTATTACGGATATAACAAAGAGAAAGCAACTTTCTCCATGGAAGATTTGACAAGATTGCAATTTATATCAGGACGACGACGGAAGAAGTGACAGAATCTGACACTTTTTTGTTGGCTCAGGTTTAGTCACTTACTACTTTTGTTCTCGGACTTACTTTTACACAAAAGTATGTAACTACTACTACGCTGCCTAATATAATGGGCCACACAACGGGGCTAAATTTCTGGATTTGGGTGGATTTCTTTACTCGGATTACGTGACAAACAGCAACGGCATTAAGCGTCATCGTTGTTTTTTACGAGTTGGATACACAATGGTGTTATTTTACTTTACTTTGCTTTCCACCAAGTAAGCAGAGAAAATTGGAACAGTTTCCTCCATTCTACTAGTTTCTCTTTAGCTACAATGCGATAGTGTCAAGTGTAAGACGCAGATTATTTTGGAAATTTTGGAATTAGGAAGTTCAAGTCAAAATAGTCAACGATTCTTGAGGTAAATTTATGCGATGGTTGGAATTAGTCAAAATTTCTGAGGTGAAAGTTAAAAAAAAGTGTGGGATTTTTACCAAGAAAATTCCACTTTCACTCTTCTCGAAGGTGAAAATCTCCCATTTTTTAACTTTCACCTCAAATATTTTGACCAATTCCAACCCTCACACAAACTTCCTCAAGAAACATTGGTTTTATTGCATGATTCCAAAATTTTCACCAAAATCTGAGCCTTACACTTCACACCTTCCCCTTATTACTGCTACAATTCCGTGTATGAATTTAGCTGCGTTTTACTGGGGAGAAAATGTCTTTAAATATTTTTTTGGCCCGAGACCCAACCAGCGAGGAGGGAGCGACACTCGACATTATATTGGGTTTAAAAATGTCTACGTAAATCCAAATCTAAATCCAATCAACTTGCCCAACTTGAAACTTTTGGCAGGTTGAGAGGAGGAGCAATACAAAGGAATTTTTCTAATTCCTCTCGCTGCAAGAAGACAAATACGAAACACTCAAGATAAACATGGCAGCAGCAGCGTCGGGTGTTTGAACAAATTTAGCACTTGTCCTCTTACACTATGTCATTTCAAAGTGGGAGAGAAAGTTGAGAGAGAACTACGTGTGGAGAAAGTGGCTACGTACGTAAGAAGATGGAAGTCCAGTGTTTCGTGGATGGCGGGTTTGCTACATTTCTTGCACGAAAAAGCAAGCCACGCAAGAAATGCGAGGTGCAAGAAACTGGGAGAAAGTGCAAGAAATGTGTGCCATCTAGCCACGCGCCGTATGAACTATTTACAGCGGCGGGGCGCAGTTTTTAGCGCCATGCTTTTCTCCCGGGTCAAAATATTTCCCTGCAAGAAACCACTTTCTCCCCGTTATTTCTTGCACCTGCTTACTTTCACCCGAAACACTGGAGGTTGACCCAAATTTCGGTGCAACCCGGACTCGCTGGATGCAGTACAAGTAGTAGAAGGTTGAATAATAAATTGAGCGTTTTAGTTTTAATACCACAGATTTTTCCAGATCTCAACCTGACCAGGACCGCCCTCCCCTTGTGACATTTTAACGAGGGGGATTTTATTAGGCAGAAATTTAATATGCATCAAGTAATGGGACGGAAATTGGGGAAGAATTTGTACGGCTGCGACGCAAGTAAACAAGAAAGAAAGAGAGTCAAGTCTGGTTTAATTTTCCATTTTGTTGCAGATGGATGCCGTTCGAAATATCAAGTACGTACGTTGGCGGATCTTTGTTTTCTTCATTGAATTAAATATACAGAAGCTGAATTTGTTCATTTCCAAGTATTATTTACGTGCCTATTCATACATATTTGTGCAAAATATTTTCGCCAAATTCAATTCGCACAAAATTCACAGAAATTTAAAATACCTTCCCTTTTGTTACAAATGGATTCCGTTTGAAATATCAAATATGTATCGGTGGATCGGTGTTTTTTAGATGAAAATTAAATATACAGAGGGCAAATTTGTCCACTTCTATTATTTGCTTGCCTACACATATTTGTGCAGAATGTTTTCGCCAAATTCAATTCTCACGTAGAAATTCAAAATCCCACACGGGAAACCGAACAGCTTTCTACAACAATTCGAATAAGCTTTTTGATTAATTTTGCTTTCTCTTCGTGCCATAACACCTCTTTTAATCGCTGAACAAACATGGATCCCAGAACAAAGACCAAATCAACAAGGATCACGCCTATGCGATTACATATGTATGTTTACACCAGTCGCCGCGGAACAGGGGGACAATGTCCCCACGGTGGTTCGATGTCCCTATCACCTCCCCATCTTATATAAACCCGTCCCTCCCCTATCCCACAAAGTTAATGTCCCCCGATGTCCCCACACCTTCCGCGGCCACTGTTTTTACACCACTCATTTTAACGGAGCAACATCATCCCCTGTAATGGTTTGATCTCGTGGTTATTGGATTTGTGAGTGAGACGTGCCAGGCAACAGCCCCGATGAGAAAAGAGAATACTTGCACAGGTGCAATTTCCACGAACCAAGTGTAATAATAATTAGCGAACTTTGCGGTGGATCCGACGAGGGTTCAGATTGGTGTGAAATGGACAATGTTTTAGGGTTGAGGAAATTCAATAGGGCAATTCTTCCCCCTTTTTGATGAGCAAACAATGCCATCACATCATGATTATTTGACCGAAAGCAATTCACCACTAAATTATCGGAAATAATTAGTTTCCCCCTTTAATTCCCAAGACTGTTGTTTTTGCTTGATTGGTTTACTCCACTTTGTTTAATGCACGTCTTTTTGGGGAGAGTTTGAATCATTAAAAGTTTTCCGATTAAAGATATCCATCCCACATTTTTAAGTGGGTTCAGCCCACCGTAGAGGAATTAGTTGATGGATGGATATCTACGTGCAATTAGGAGAGATTCTTGGAAAGCAGTGGCCGCGGAGGACGGAGGGACGTCCCCACGGTTGTCCCATCATCTGCCCATGTTATCCGCATAGACCACTCTCTACCCTATCCTACAATGTTAACCTCTTTCGTATTATTGATTTCTCTTTCAAAATTTCTATACGGTAAGATATTGATTTCATAATAATCAATTAAATTTTCAATCAGTTTCCAATTTTCGAATTTTTTTTACGAAAAACACGAAAAATCCACTTTTTAACATTGGTCGGTATAGAAAAAATTCCAAAATTTGGGGAGAAAAATACCGAAAAAAATCCACTTTTCTTTCCACAAAATACTGAAGAAATATTCCACTTCGCCGTGAACGGAAAATAAAATACACAGATTTGTGCACTTTGTCGTTAACAGATTAATGTCCCCGCAAGGCTTCTGCAGCCACTGTTGGAAAGTTTAACCTTGACAAATTCATACAGCTTTCTAAGCCTTGCACAGGCATAACTTTAGTGACGTATGGAACCAAAAGTAAGTATATCATATGTCGCATCAATCCGTACGAATAACGTCATGTCAAAGGACCGTTAACCCAGCCAAGCATCCAGTCTCTATTACAACCTCTAAAAAATTTCGAGGACACGTATCACAGAAGAGAAAGCTATAAGATATGGATACGTCTGCGATATCGATTATGCGAAGAATTGTCAATGTAGCAGATATCTATGTGGGGTAGGAAGTGAGTTGAAATGAACCCAACCATTTCCTAACTTGACCACAAGGGTTGACTGATGACATTTATTTCCTACTTTTCTTCTGCCTTTGCTTTCTCCCAATATCATTTTTCCTCGAAAGGATATGTACAACAAGGAAAGCAAGGTTGACAAAAAGGACGAATTATCGATTTATGCTCGAAAAATGCAGTTGGACGTTGTATCCTTTTTTGTACAGGATAAAGATACATAATGTGTATGGATCCATTAATCAATTTATTTTTTATACCCGATAAAATAATTTTGATTTTTAAATAAGAAATAATATAGTTTTTTTAATTTTTTTACCAGACTTGGGTTTTACAATTTTTAAGGTTCGGAACTTTTTGAATAATCTCAATTTCAACATTATGTTAGACTACAATGGAGCAAGAATTTTCAAAAATCGGAACAAAATTGGATTTTTGGCGCGCTCTTGGAGACGTTGATTTTCTTATTTTTTAAGTAAAATCATTATGATTTGGTTGGACAGTTGTATTATTTTTGTTGGGTAAAAAATAATCCCGGTTGGACATTTCATTATTGGAAAAATTATTATTTTTTGGTTGAGGACATTTTCCTATTTTCTTTGGGAGGTATAAAATAAACCCATTAATCAAATAAAATTATGCTCTTAAATTCCCAATAAAAACGTATTTACAAAATTAATGATCTCAAAACTTTAAATCAAATTATGTACCTACAATCACTTAAACTTTCCTTGTTCGTATAAGTGCCCAATTAATTATTAAGGCTCCCTGAACAATAATAAATTACTTGGTGGAGGAAGAGGAATGAATAATCTATTTGCAAATGTATGCATGCATACAACTTCGCGAAATTAAAACCCTTTTTGAGCTAAACCAAACCAGCTTTTGGGTGACAT